TTAGATCTGTAATGAGTTTATTTTGACATGAGTCGCCGCAACCGCGAGTTACTTGAACACAAATGAATTAAAATGGAGAGACATTTTGAATTATTGTAGTTATTACGAGACAGAAAAATTAATTATACCACAAAAAAGCCGTTATTTTTAACGAACGCGGAGACCGTTTCAGGAGCCGTTACATGTAAATATCCGATTCCATTGTTGTGACCTCTCGCCCCAATCACAATCACAAGTTCTGGACAAATTACAAACGATTAAAATTTTTTCTATTGCATGCGGCTCCGTCGGTAGTTTCAGTATGAAAAAACCGTACATCGCGCGCACAATTGACTGTGTTTCAATTTCGCAGTTATTACGATGATTAACCAAATAAAACCTAACATAACACCAAATTTTGTGATTTACAATATCTATAAAAGCGTTTTTGATCTGACGTGAGTCTGCTGAAACCAAATTTATAGTGTGATCTTCCATTTTAAGTTTTAGTTTCAATATTTTAGAATGCCGCTTTTAAATCAAGAAATTTGAGTTGCGGATTTAAATCTTTTTAAATTATTTTTTTAGCATTTTGTCGCCGATGACTATAATGTGGTAACATGTTTTTTACATTGAACTCACAATTCCCCACGAAAACAAAAAGCAATTATCTTCGTCATTGTGGAAAAATACATGTATACGCCAAAGGAAATTTTTGATTTGGGGTGAAATAAACACCAGCGTAAAGATGTTTATTGTTTAAAAACACGCCATGCTGACGAAAACAATCGGCTATGGTAACAAAATGCAATCGCACACGTTATTAGAAGCCTTTTATGTATTCCAAAAATGTCAAAGAGAAAAAATTCGACCCCTGGTTTATTAATATGTTTGTCAAGTGTTAAATTTACAGCTTTATTATATATAATTTATCTAGGAAATTTTGATTTATTTATGACTTGTTTTAACCCTATTAAAAAAGATTTAACATTTAATTTAAATAAAGTACTTTTAACTTACTCAGAAATGTTAATCGAAAAATAACAATTTTACCATTTATTTTGGGGCTCCGTGAATAATAGTCAACCTATTCAAGGGCTCCGCAACATCAAAAGTTTGAGGAGCCCTGGTCTAAACAACTAAATCCTGTTTTCTGCTGTATACCTAAGAAAAATGCATGATATCAAATCGATAAAGCAAGTTATTTGAAAGATCTTGTATTCTGTATAATATGGGCTTACAAACATGCTTCCTGAAGAAAATGTTGTCCATGTCCATGTTACATTTCAAAAATCGATTGTTATTTAGTATGAAAATGTGATAAATTCAATTTCCCCAACTTTTTCTTTTCTTTTTGCTTTTTCATCTGCAAGTTCGACAAACTGTGAGCGATTTTGAATCTTTGTGCTTTGTTAATGTAAGTGTGTATTTGCCTTGACTTTTATTTTATAACCTCAATAAATCTTCCAGACAATTTAGGCCTTAGGGCATAGAAACTTTTCAAAATGAATATGCAAAATCTGCGTGTGATCGATTACCAGTATTACCGAAACAGAATATCGGAATTACACATTTCAATATTCTGATATTAGGTAGTAGTAACATGCAACCTTATAACAGAATTATTCAATTTGTAAGCTTTGTAATCGCTTTGAGTTCGATTTTAGACATTTATAAAATACTTTAATTACAACTACCGGGTTATGAATTCATTGGGATTTTATATGAGGCACAAATATTTTTTTCAGGTAACTCATTCAGACAATTTTACAGTTGTACAGGTCGACACGTAACCGATACCGGTGTACGCTACAATTGAAACGAGTCATCAATTCGGAAGTAGATAAGTTATAGACCAGGGGTCACCAATCTTTTCGAAGCCGAGGGCTACTTTCTGGGTACAGATTAAGCCGAAGGCTACCAGTTCAATACACACTTCTAAAAAAGTCAGTTTGCTCGATTAAGCTTCAACTATTGATAATTACTGGTATTTAGTCAAGTAGACCCACTGATAATCTTTAGGATTCTTCAAGAAACCAAACGTTTATTACAACGTTGCAATAAATTTCTATCAATGACGGTGAACGTACATTTGAACCCACGTACATTTCGTACATTTGAACTCATGTGTATATCCGCGGGTTCAATTTATATGCGGGTGCTAAAACCCAGGGGTTAGGGTTAGTATGGGTTCAAATATCCGCAAAACAAACAAAAAATGTCAATATGTGCAATAGTATGCAGGTGCAATTGTCGTGGGTTCAAATGTACGGGAACCATCAATGACACTTGCATTTTGAAACTGAGTGTTTTCAAATTGATTTTAAAATGATCACTACTATAATATCCTAGGAAACCACAATGTACCTGGATTATTTACAAACACTCTGCACAAGCCTAAGATAAAATAGACTTAACAGTTATACTATAAAATGTTACACTGTAGTGTTGTACTGAGGTGCTGTTGTAACTCTGAGCGAGACTTGCAGATCATCAGAAAGGCGTGTTTCGTGTTTGTTCCTGGTGAAGTACATGTCAATAAATGCGATTACGATTACTCTGTGTGATGTCAAAATTGGAAGACTATTAAATGACCTGTCACATTACTGAGGTCAAATCAGGTTGGTTATTACAATAATTAATATACTCCAGTGCCTTTCCCAGTTCCCATACAAGTGTGATCAATACAAGAATAGCGGGACAAAAATAATTGATGTAGCTTACTCATAAGCGCCGTTATTACGCTTATTTCGGAACAGACCTGCGGGTGACACATGGAGTCTTCACGGGCGATTTTGTGCCGCGGGCAACGGGTTGGTGACCCCTGTTATAGACAGTAACAAAAATACTGAAATAGCGTATTACAGTAACTTTTTTCTTTGGTCAATGCATGATTGGATTGTATTTATTTTGAATAGATGTATAAAAAAGGTATATGTTCCAATCTATTATGTCCTTATGTTGTATTTCGTGATTTGGTCTACAGCCGATTAGGACAATGACGGGATCAATGACATGAGGTACCTTATTTTTGGTTGTCATGATCGTTCTGTCTACTCTAGCCTCTTGATAAATTAGAATTCGATATATATTCTGGCTAGTGCAATTCAAGGTGAATAAAAAATTTACATTTTCAGTGTTCCTGAGTGTGTAAGACTTTGGCAATCAGGCAGACTCAGAGCCTTGATAAATTAATTACTGTGACTGATGTTTGTCATTCCATTGATGCTACGCACAGTGCCCCTAGTTGTAATCGTGCTGGTAAGCCCATGGTAGCTATTGTGAATAATGATGGTGTGTGTGAATCTGAATTTAGTAAGCTGAGGAATGATTTTGAGGAGATACTCGACCGATTTGGTGCTATGTTAGACAATGGTCATCGACCCGATTTTCTCATCAGAAGGGTGGTCGTAGGAATGAAGGTATTACTTGTTATGGCTGTGGTGCCGAGGGTCACATACGTATATATTGCCCTAAAAACCTATGCCAAAGATTTCATGGCAGAGGTCATATAGCTTCTCAGTGTGATAGTTAATAGGTTCCACAGAATTCGCAGTTCTCTACTATTCGGCTCAGCAAACGGTCCATGGCTCAGTAGGAAATTTTTCACCAGGGAGTAGCTCAAATTTGCATGGGGTGGGAATGCCAAACTCTTCGTGACGGTGGGAATATTCCCCAGCAACAGTCTGTATTGATTGCAACATACTGTCTCTTCTCTGGAACCAGTTATGCCTGGTGATTTCATGGACAACAGAGAACTACCTCAACATTTGAAAAAACTCGTCGACGATCCAGAAGATTTAACGAATGAACAACGTCAAAGTGTTCATGATTTGCTTGTCGAATATCAGGATGTTTTTGCTTGTTCTGATGGCAAACTGGTACGAACGTCTGTAGACAAACATAAAATGAAAACGTCTACATCTGAACCAATTAAAGTTCCACCTCGACGTATGGGATTGGCAAAGAGAGAAATTGCAGAGAAACAAGTACATAGCATGCTTGATCAAGGTGTAATAGAATCGAGTGGAGGTCCCTACAATTCACCTATTGTTCTCGTTCCTAAGAAGGACGGAACTTCTAGATTTTGTATTGATTTCAGATTTTTGAACCTTGTAACAATTCAGGATGCCTACAGTTTGCCAAGAATTAATGATATTTCGGATGCGTTGGGTAAAGCAAAGTGGCTTTCATCGTTCGACTCGACGAGTGGGTAC